AAATACGTTCATCCAAAGATTTAATGAATTCTCTCATTCGAACTTTCCAGTAGGCATAGTTACTTGCGTCGAAAAATGGAGGCACATATAATGACTGACTCATCTATATGTTATAAAGTGTCAAGAATCAAATTAAGACTCTGATACCAGTTGAAAGTTACGCAGTTCGACCCTAACAATACCTAGACGGGGTGAATAGGTATATTATTCAGAATTAAAAATATTTTACGAATTAAATAACAAGAAGTCATTTTTTAATTATTCTCTAGATAATTAAATATGCAAGTCATTTTAGTCATAAATTTGAATTCCACATTTTATATGATCAATCAAGAAACAATAACGAAAGCTCATTTAGTTTTGGTGAATGATCACGGAAAAACCCAACTGGGAAAAACTTATGGCACTTTGCTAGTTAACAATCCACTATAAACGATTTGAACAACTTGCAGTCTATCAGACTAGACAATCGGGTACTATTTGAACACTCGACTACACTCCCTACAGCTTTCCTTGGATCCCGCGCTCCCCTACACCAATCATTAGCTGCTGTTGCCAAAACTCTCCGTGGAATCTGCTACCCTACAACACTCATAGTCTTGTGGAATTGCCTATTTCCCGTGAATCAAAGAAGAACACCGTGTTCTTCACAGATTGGAACTCCAGTCAAACTCTCTCGATTTTCAGAACTCTAACCAGATACAGAGGGAAAGCAGTTTGGTATTTGGATTATAGAAACGATATTTTTCTCACCAAAACAATCAAAGCAGATGAAAGTTGAAAGAAGTAATTGAATCGATCTCTTACAGATGTAGCTATCTCAATGTTCAACATCACTAATTTTTGTACAGAAGTGTTTTAGTATATATTGGTAGGTTAGAAAAACGAATGGGTCGGAGAAAAAGCTTTTAAAACGCAAAATAAAAATTTTCCGATTAAACCTGTCGCTCGAGCGAGCGTTCAACGACAGTCAAACGACAGACTGTCGTTTGAGAGAAGTAGGGGAGACAGCCTAGCAACAATGTTTTTGCTTTTGTAACTCGAGCCAAACCTCGGCGATAGTCTAGCGAAAATCCGAGCCGTTTTCCTCTTTTTGCCATTCTCGAACCCTGGACCTAATAACCCTAGTTTCAACTATATGCACATTACTCCTCGATTTTTTAAACATAGTACAATTTAGTCATTTTGTTTACAGAATCGCCGTTACAAAACATTGAAAACCTAACTACAATTTTCATTTTCTAAACTCACTAATTTTGATGCTCAAATACGAGCAAGAAATAAAATAGCTATTTGAGATAGAGATAATTGAATTGCATGCCTTCTTCTTTAATATTTATAGATTTTTCTCCAAACTCTGGGGAAATCTGGTCATCTTGGAGAAATAAAAGATGGCTGCTTCTTGATAACTGAATTTTTTTTAAGTGTCATGCTTTACGAGCGTATTGACAACTTGTAATCAGTTTGGACGAAAGAAAAGCTCGCATCTTATTATACGAACCCTTCATCCTTTCTTTCCCTTTGATATGGTTACGTATTTAGTTGGGATTGCGGTATGGTTTGCGAAATTGTGGCGGAGGAGAGGGGAGGGGGGTTTAGTTAACACTTGTATGGCAAGAAGTAAGCTTTGAAAGCAATAGTACAAAAAGTAAGGGTTTCAAATGTCCTGATCCGAACCGGATTGAACCGAATCGAGCGGTTTGTCATAAATTAAATACCCGAACGGGTACACGAATTGAGAATCGATGGGTTTGGATCAGATCTCGGTTCTAGACCAAGAACCGAAGAACCAAATAAGACCAGAAACTAAATAATTTTTTATATTTTTTATATTGAATTAATTAAATTAAATTATTTTTTAAAACAAATTAATTAATTAATTAATTAAATAAATCAGATCATTTCATAAATTTAATTTTAAAGTCCAATACCTAAATTATTTTAAAACCCAAATCATTTTAAAGTCCATTTTAAAGACAAGTAACAGTGGAGTTTGGGATCCATTTGCATTTTTTGATATGGATTATCGATATTTTAATATTAACATCTACTTTTTGGTATTTGTATGCATTGGATTAATTTTATTGGATAGGTAGTTATTTATATATTTTTGAATTGAGCTACGTTAATTTATAAAAGTTACGAATGAAATGTCATTAGTTGTATTTATGTAGTGTTGTTGTAAATGTCAAAAAATTTAATTATGGTATGGAACCGAACAGAACCGAACCGAACCCGAACGATTCCATAATTATATTTGGACCCGACGGGTCCATTTATTAAATACCCGAAAGTTTTGGGTCGGTTCGGCTCTCTTCAGAATCGAATTGAACCGACCCAGGACAGCCCTAACAAGAAGTTTGTTGTGTTCACGCAAAAAAATAGCGACTATGAATGTGATGCCGATCAATCTTGCTACTTCAAAAGGCTTAAGTCTTTATATTATTTTTTATTTATGTTGATTACACATGTCAGTAGAAGACAAAAAATATATCAACAAAATCTGAAATGAACACTACAACAAAAATAGCAATTAGCAACATTTAAAAGGCAATATTTATCAATAAATGTTGCCAAAATGGTCTTTTGGCAACATTTTCGTAAGTGAATGTTGCCATAGGTTAATATAAATGAGTTTTAGCAACGTTTTTTTAAAAAATGTTGCGGTAGACCACTTTTCGCAACGTTTAACGAGTGTTGCGGAATGTGTTACCTTTCGCAACGTTTACCAAACGTTGCGAAAGGTAGGACCTTCCGCAACGTTTGGGAAACGTTGCGGAAGGTCTACCTTTCGCAACGTTTGGTAAACGTTGCGAAAGGTATTTTAATCCAGTAGCCCACTTATCCTAGCCTATTTATCCTAGCCCACTTATCCTAGCTCAATTTAGAAGCCCAGGGTCAACCCAATTCCCACCCAACCCAACCCAACCCAAACCAAACCAAACCCTCCAATTTAGAAGCCATGGGGACAAGTTCTAACACAGGCTAAGACCCCCTTCTCTCTCTCTGTGAAAACACTTCCTCCGCCTCCTCTCTAAAAAAAACCCTAAACCTTGAGTGCTTGCCGGTGGTGGGAGCTTCGGCTGTGCAGATGGAAGCGTCGGTCGAGGTATGGCCGGACTCATTAAGGCTGGCCACCACTGTGGGGGTCGTGAATCTGTACACCCCAATCCACGAAATCAAAAATCACGGTCCAAACTCCAATCCACTCCTCAGCCCTGCCTCAATCGATTCCAAACCAACCTCCAGTAGTCCAGTTCCAGTTCCTTCTCGCGACCTCCACCACTGACTCGTCATCCGCTGGCCGCAGCTTCCGCTCCAGCCTCCAGACGGACCAGACCAGTTCTACTTCGAGCCTTAAGAGTCCTAGACCAGTTGGGTTATCCACTTGCTGACCTGCTTCCGTGCTTCGCCTCCGGCTTCGTGACCTGCTTGGCTGCTTCTTCTTCGAATCTTCTTCATCCTTCAATAATCGGCAGCAACAGTAACCTTAACCTACTGTAAGTATTCCAATAGCTTGGGTCTTTTTTATTATTAGTTAATTCTTTGGATTTGCGACTGTTTGGCGTTTGGGGTTTTGATTCCTTCATCGATTTTTTATATGATTTTGGATTTTGGTGTTTCTGAATAATTGAATATATTCATATTTGTGATTTGATTGTTAATTTGTTATGAGTTGCACTTGCCCACAGA